TAGCTAGATCCACGATGGAGTCTGAGCTAATAGCCTTGGATAAGTGCACTGAAGAGGCTGAATGGCTACGCCATTTTCTCGAGGATATTCCAAGTTGGGAGAAGCCTGTCCCTCCAATATGCATACATTGCGATTGTCAAGCGGCAATTGGAAGGGCACAGAGCAATCTCTACAATGGTAAGTCTAGACACGTTCGTCGTAGACATAACACCATTAAACAACTCCTCACAACGGGTGTTATCACTGTTGACTACGTGAAGTCAAAGGATAACATAGCGGATCCGCTAACCAAGGCATTGGATAGAGAATTGTTGGAGAAGTTGTCACGAGGAATGGGACTAAAGCCTGTGAATTGAAAAGTTCTATAGTGGATACCCAACCTAGTTGGTCCTAGGTTCAAAAGGGACAACTAAATTATAGAGCGAAGGATGGTCACTGTGGGGGTCCCGGACTCCTACCCACTCCTCGTTAAAACAGTGACTCCCGCACGAGGTTAGCAAAAACGTTTGCTTTAATGATTCTAAAATGTTGATCTACTCGATAACATTGGAAGAGTATGCGGGATACTCGTGAAAGAATCACCTATGTGAGAGAGAAGAGGGCCGCTTCAAAGGAGAACTGTAAAGGCTCAGTTCTTTAGAAACTCTTGCAGAACCAGGACGGTGACCCATGGCCAAAACGGGCACACTCATGAAAACGGAACAAAGTTGGAAGGTTCTTGTGTAATGATAAGTCAATGTTTACACGACGGTAGTATAGTTCAAGGACATCGAGTCTACTAGACAGCCAGTAAATAAACGTGTCTCTACAACGGAAGGTTCAAAGGATAAAACCTACGTCTCCGTATGCAAGGATCATCCGGTGAACACAACATGTCCTCCTATCTTCGTGTCTTTTAAGTCTCGAAAATCAATTTTCATTCATGTGGGGGATTGTTGGAAAAATGTGTTAAAAATTGCATTAAGTGGTCATATTGGGGCAATTATTTGAGTGGGGTCCACTTCCGATTTGGGTCGGGTCAAAGTGGTTTTGGATTGTCCTTGTTAAGGGCTACAATTCGATATGTGGTACACTCAAAACGGATAACGGGTGAATGAGAAATTGATTCTCGAAGTTCACTCGTTGAAATGGACAAACTCGGAAAATGATGAGTTTCTAGTGTGTTTTATCCCACACCGAAAAACTCAAGGGATTTTCACCCCCTTATAAAGGGAAGCCTCTTTTAAGGAGTTAAGATTCCTAAGGGTAAAGGCTCTCTCTTACGCGCATGGGGTTGCCGATCAAATCCCGAAACGGAGAAGAAAAACCGCGACTCGTGTGCGCGGGCGACCTGCGGACACGAATGTCGTCCGAAAACCTATCATTCAAAGATACGGTCTAATTTTTGTTTCTTCCCAGTGACAGAAGGGGTGGAGTTCTGTCCGGAACAGAGACGCTCGAGTTCTGTCCGGAACAGAGACGCTCGAGGCCTTCTTGAGCTAAAAACACACAGTTTTGACAACGCACAATACACTCCTCACGTTTTCTTGACCTAAAAACTCTTCCAGCTACTCCCAAATTTCCCTAGTGTTCTGCTATTGTTCCAGTTCGCCGGGACTTTCGTTTGTGTGCTCAAACGATCGTTCGTTAGCCGCCGTATCCTGGGAAACGGTCGTTGCAACGCTCCTAGCACCGTGGGAGGTGACGAATACGTTTTAAGAACATCGTGCGTAGCACGAGCTCTGGCTAAAATCTGCTCCATCTTATTTTCTGTTTTCTTTTAGCTATTTTGTTTAATAATTAATTTTAATTAATTAATATTTCTTCGTTTTTTCCGAAACACACCCAACAGGGTTAAGCATGCACTGTTGGACAAGATGCAGTGAGGTCTACCCGGGATCTGATTAAATCAGTCCTGAACCTATGAGGATTGTCCAGAGTATTTGAGTGGCTAGGAGTAAATGTTCAATTGATAGCCGGCAGTTGAGGTAACAGACTTATCATTGATTATTGTTTCCTTGCTCACTTGAGCCTTCTGCTTCCTAATGCTCATAATGTTCACTCACTCACTCGCTCACTCACTCACTTACGCTCGGCTTTGTCCCTTGGGTAGGCTTAGTTGGGTTTACTAAGCCATAGGGACATGTTCTCTCATTACTTTCTTGATTTTCTCTCTGTACTCCCCCTCAATTGAAGCACTCGGTATGCTTTGTCATTGTTAGGCACCGGGGATGATAACATTGAACACTCCCCCTAAAATGTTGCATCCTTTGAGAGATTCCTTGCTTTGTCGGTGTAAGGCGCCAAGAGGAGAAAACTGAAACTCCCCCTCAGAATGTGCAAGGTTTGATTGCTCACAGCTTGTCATACCCGCCATGTGTGTGGAGCAATCTGAACAGGTAGCACACATGACAGTTTCCCTTAGCTCATCATTTGGAATTTCAGCACGTTTGAGGATCACACAATGTTGATGAGTTAGGGGAGGCTTTAGTAGTTGATTGTTGATTGTTGTAAGATGACCGTTGACGCGAGGTTGATTGAATTATCTACGATTTTCGGACCTCTATAGTGCAGTTTAGAAAATCTTTGACCTTTGGCTTGACTTTGAAAGAATTTGATCAGATTTGCCTGAGTTTTGACCCTCATGAACTGCGCGTGAGTTTAGAAAGAGTTTAGACATCGCTGATTTACAAAGTTTGTCGGAAAATGAACGTTTTGACCCTTAGGAACTGCGCGTGAGGGCGCGTGAAAAACGGTTTTGGGGTAAACCCCCAGAATTCATGTAGATTTTTTCGTTAGATTTTCAACAAAAAAAAGTTCGCTTAAATCGGATCACCGAGTCAAAAGTTATGGCCAAAACAGTGCGGTGTCGCAGAAAATCTCGAAATTTTGAGTTTTGAGGTATTTTTTCGAAGTTGAGGTTCTCGATGTTGAATATCGAGAACAAGTGGGATTAAGGAAAATTCTAAGGTAATACCTCGAAATCCTAATCTCGAGTTAAAACCTCGAGATTGTAATCTCGAGTTTGCCTCGAAGAATAATGGCGAAATCCACCTGCAAAACAGACCCCGAGACTTCGAGATCTTCAGAATTTCAAGTTGTTTGGAACATCGAAAACTTTGGAGTTTCGAAAACCTCATAATATTGAAAACTTGCTGTTTGAAAAACTTCAGAACATCGAAAACTTCTAAAACCTTTGATAAGCATAGATTCATTGAGATATCCTATAATGTAAAGCTTCGATGAACTGCGAAGAATGTCAAGTTTCGAACAAATTTGAGTTTAAAGAAACTGCAAACTTTGAAATATTTAAAACATCGAGAAATTCCAAAAATCTCGAAATCTTTCAGAATGTCGAAATCCTAAACATCGAGTTCCCAAAACTCGAAATTGCAAAACTTGAAATTCCAAAACTCGAAATTTCAAAACTCGAAGTTTGAAAACTCGAAATTTCAAAACTCGAAATTTCAAAACTCGAAGTTTGAAAACTCGAAATTTCAAAACTCGAAATTTCAAAACTCGAAATTTCAAAACTCGAAATTTCAAAACTCGAAATTTGAAAACTCGAAATTTCAAAACTCGAAGTTTGAAAACTCGAAATTTCAAAACTCGAAATTTCAAAACTCGAAATTTCAAAACTCGAAATTTCAAAACTCAAAATTTCAAAACTCCAAATTTCAAAACTCGAAATTTCAAAACTCGAAATTTCAAAACTCCAAATTTCAAAACTCGAAATTTCAAAACTCGAAATTTCAAAACTCGAAATTGCAAAACGTCGAGTTTAGGTATTCGAAACACTAAATGTCGAGTTCCTGCAAAATGAAAACATCGAATTTTGAAAATCTGAAAACTGTTCTGAATAGCCCTGAAGGTCGAGATTCCTCCTGTATCTGTTTCAAGTCAAAATCGTTTCTGCACCCATGTAAAAGTATAAACTCGAGATTCATGTAGAGTTCTTCGAAATTGAAAATTTGCAGAAATCGAAAACAAAGATATGTTGTAGAATCGTTTTGAATAGGCGATTGCAACAATATAATTTTTTCAGATTTTCGTTCACAAACAAGATTACACGAGCAAAACTTTATATTGAAGAAAAAGAGAAGAAAAGCAGAGCAGTTCTTCGTTAGATCCAAAAAATCGAAGATAGATTCAACCTGTTTCACGCCTCGGCTGTGATACCAATTGATAGACTCATTATACTAACAATCACACAATCATAGCAGATAAAGAAGAAGAAGCAGATAGAAAGATATGAGATATTCAACGAATCTGGTATACCGTGATAATAGCCGCTGCTCTCCCTCGAGAAGGAGAGCAGCGGCAAACTCTAATCTCTCTATCTCTGCGCCTCTATTCTCTAAAGCCTCAATCGTTAAGGTTTCCATAAGTTAGCCTCCTTTTATAGGAGAAGTTGACTAACTTATGGATTACAAAGAAGCTAACGAGTTGATACACATTTGTGGCCCGTATTACACATTTAATTAATAACTACACAAATACAAAGATATTTAATTAGATTAAACACCATAAAATATTCCTAACAAAGAAAACTGGCAGGAAAAAGTTTGGAGTACTTTCCAGTTTTATTTTTATATTTTATGGTCTTATTTTCGTGCTTTATTTGGTTACATTGCTTCTTTTTCATTGATTTCTTTAGTGTTAGGTCTATAATAATGTTTTTTACTTTTTGGATCGTGGCAACTGGCAAGTACATCATAAGATAAGTGATGAGAATACATCGTCGATCATGATTTGTTTATAGTTTCCCAAGTGAGGATTAGCGAATCTTATTGATCCTGACTGGGTGATAGCTTCTGAATCTGGTACCAGAGCGTATAATCGAATAATGTTTTCTGGTCTTTCTTGCTTGTGTATTGTGTCCGATCTTGTTGTTGTTTGGTTGGATTCCATGATTTTAATATAAGCCATTTTCTCTCTAAAAAACGTAAAAATGGAAGTTTTATCTCTAAGCTTGTGTATGTATTAGTTGGTTAGAGACCGGTAGTTCAATGATATCAGTCTTCACTTTTTAAGTCTGTCTCTTTGAGTATGTAAAATTTATGAAATGCAGTGGAAATATTAACGAGGTTTGAAGTGAATCAGAGTCACAAACACTTCACAAAAGATTGTTGGCATATACTACGTAAATGAAACCAACATACTCATCAGTTCACTTCTAGCTCTGGTATCTGGCCGCAAAGTAAGCTAGAGGTCCAATAGCAGCGGCATTAATGTATGTTGTAGGTTCTAACTGATTATAGTTGGTACGATCATCTACGAATTCATCTCTTATTGTTGGACCCCCGACTATGGCTCCAGTTAAGATATTGGGATTGGACTTCAAAGTATGGTAAAAATACTCAAAGCCATAGTTACAACTCAAATGACCTGGATTTGCCACCGTAGAAGGCAAAGATGACCCCCTGTGGTGGATCCTTTTCGGAAAATATTCCCCAAATCCGACCATGTACGACATCCGCTTTGGATTTTCCCCCAAAATGTAGTCCACCTATCAATTTCCCAAAAAGTTAATTAGTATAGAGAAAGAAACTAGCTAGAGTACCGATTCAATACAGAAAAACTAGCTTTACAATAGTTCATTGAAATAAATGAGTGTTATTATTTTTCTTCATTCCTACATTTACTACTACTGGCTAGTATTATTTTCATAAAATGAAATTATACCAAACCAGAAATTTTAAATCAAGACTATTCAATTAATCCAGATTCATGCCACGTTACATTTTAAGCTAGATGAATGAATGGATCAAGAAGGACCATGGAGGAGATTCGAGGAAGAGTAACACCACTACTCTTGCCTTTTGTCGTATGAGTTACATTTTTACACACAGTTCACTCCCTCTTGTTTGATTCAGCAGATTCGTTAGGGAGAAAAAATAAATAAGATTAACATGCAACGTTAAAAAGTTGGGTAGACAAATGTTGGAAGAAAGTAGTTGATGAGTATTATATTTGGGTGATTGTGTGTGGAAGAGAGAATTTTAGAGAGAGGTGATTTTAGAAGAACTTGGAACTTGTATTGATTTGGAGCTTTTGGCTTGCTTTACAAATGAGTGAGGAGTGCTCTATTTATAGGTCTCATAGGATCCTTCTAGGCACTCCTACTTCCTTAACCTTCTAGAATATTCTATAGGATTCTAGCTTAGGAATAATCTAGAATTGTTTAGGTACATTAACTACTCTAGATCTTTCTAAGTCTATCTTATGGGCTAGCTAATTTATTAATTATCATACAACTTCTAGCCCAATAAGTTAACATCTAATGGACCCAATTATTGGGCTAAGCCAAGTTTAATTTCTAACATCCCCTCTTAAACTTGACTTAGCAACACCAAGTAGATTTCGCATCTTTGCAAAGACATCATGCTTGAGTGGCTTTGTGAGAATATCAGCGACTTGGTCTTGAGTCTTCACATACTCTACTTGAACTTCCTTCTCTGCTATCTTTCCTCGAATGAAATGATATCGAGTGTCTATGTGCTTGCTTCGATCATGAAACACTGGATTCTTTGCTAATGCAATAGCTGACTTGTTGTCCACAAATATTGTTGTTGCTTCTTCTTGAGACATGCTGAGAGCTTGCAATATGTAGCGGAGCCAAATTGCATGACACACACTTGATGTTGCTGCAACGTACTCGGCTTCACAAGTGGATAGAGTGACGATCGGTTGCTTCTTTGAAACCCATGTGAAAGCGGTGTTTCCCATGTAGAATACAAACCCAGTTGTGCTCTTGCGGTCATCAATATCTCCACCCCAATCACTATCAGAATATCCAACCAGCTTAAACTCATCAGATGAAGAGTAAAACAACCCATATTCGGTGGTGCCTTTAAGATACCGCAAAATCCTTTTTGCAGCCTTCAAATGAGTTGTTGTGGGGGCCTCCATGAATCGACTAACAAGTCCAACACCGAAGAGAATATCTGGTCTTGTACATGTTAAGTATCTTAAGCTCCCCACAAGACTCTTAAAGTAAGTTGGATCAATCAATTTTCCTTTATCATACCTTGATAGCTTTAGTCCACTTTCAACAGGTGTACTTACAGGTTTAGAGTCTTCCATGTTGAACTTCTTGAGTACTTCTCTCGTGTATCCTTCTTGAGTGATGAATATACCATCATCCATTTGTTTCACCTCGATGCCAAGATAGTAACTCATAAGCCCAATGTCAGTCATCTCGAACTCCTTTGTCATGACTTGTTTAAATTCATCAAACATCGTCATGTTATTACCTGTAAAGATGAGGTCGTCCACATATATGCACACGAGCAGTATGTCTCCTTGATGATTTTTCTTGATATATAGAGCATGTTCTTGCGGACATTTCACGAATCCATTAGCTTGGAAGTATTGATCAATTCTACTATTCCAAGCTCTTGGTGCTTGTTTAAGCCCATAAAGAGCCTTATTTAGCCTCAACACTTTACCTTCTTGCCCTTTGACTTTGTAACCTTCGGGTTGCTCAATGTAGACTTCTTCTTCTAGGAACCCATTTAAGAATGCAGACTTGACATCCATTTGATGTATCTTCCACTTGTTGTGAGCCGCGAATGCAATTATCAATCTTATTGTTTCTAATCTAGCCACGGGCGCAAATACTTCTTCATAATCAATGCCATGTCTCTGGGCGTAGCCTTTGGCCACTAGTCTTGCCTTGTACTTCTCAACTTCTCCTTTTGCATTTTTCTTGATCTTAAATACCCATTTCACTCCAATTGCTTTATGTTTTGGTGGAAGTGTGGCAAGCTCCCATGTTTTATTCTTCACGATTGACTTGATCTCGTCATCCATTGCATCTCTCCATTTCTTGTTTCTTGTGGCTTCTTGAAAACTTAGTGGCTCACAATCACCAAATAGACAAAAGAGTGTAAGTTCATCATTTGAGTTCAAATTTTGTGTTACCTCGTAAAGCTCTTCAATGCTTCTCATGCGTGGTATTTCTCTTTCATCCGAACTTGGTGATGAAGCTTGAGCTTGAGTGGGAGATGGTGGAGGAGTTGTATTTTCATGATTTTCTTCAACTTCTTCTTCATATTCCATGGGAGGCAAGAGACTATAATCTTCTTTGTCACCAATGCTCCAATCCCATGAGCCTTCTTCATCAAACTCCACATCACGACTTATTATAAGCTTTTTAAAATCCGGATTGTAGAGTTTGTACCCTTTTGAGTGTTTATCATATCCAATGAATATAAACTTCTCACTCTTGTCGTCAAGTTTTGACCTAGTCTGATCGGGTACATGCGCATATGCAATGCATCCAAATACTCTCAAGTGTGAGACTCCAGGTTTACCTCCATGCCATGCTTCTTGTGGAGTTTTTCCATCGAGACTCTTCGTGGGGCAGCGATTTTGAAGATAGACAGCACAATCCACCGCTTCAGCCCAAAAATCTTTAGGCATACTCTTTGTTTTTAGCATGCTTCGAGCCATGTTGAGGATCGTCCTATTCTTTCTTTCGGCAACACCATTTTGTTGTGGTGTTCGTGGGACAGTCATGGGACGGCGGATGCCATTATCTTCACAAAATTGATTAAACTCCTTTGATGTGAACTCTCCACCCCGATCTGATCTCATGGCTTTGATACTGTACCCACTTTCTTTCTCAATAAGAGCCTTAAATTTCTTGAATGCTTCAAAGGCCTCAGATTTTTGTTTAAGGAAATATACCCATGTTTTTCTTGAGTAATCATCGATGAAAGTGAGAAAGTACTTACTTTTACCATGTGAACATGGAGTAATAGGACCACATAAGTCGGTATGGACTAACTCCAATGGTTCCTTAGATCTTGAGGTAACTTCTTTAGGGAATGGTTTCCTTGATTGCTTCCCAAATAGGCAACCTTCGCATAGCTGATCAGGATGATTGATGAAGGGCAAGCCTTTCACCATGCCTTTGGATGATAGCATTTTCAAGCCACCAAAGTTTAAGTGCCCATATCTTAAGTGCCAAATCCATGACTCGTCTTTCAAGCAACTTTTTAAGCATATGGCTTGATCTCTTTGAATGTCAAGCAAGAACATTCGGTTTCTAGTCATCGGCACTTTAGCAACTAGTCTTCCATTATTGTCTCGTAGAGAAAGACTACGATTCTTTAAGTGAATATCATAGTCCTTTTCTAAGAGTTGTCCCATACTTAGAATATTTGTTTTTAAGTTGGGCACATAGTAAACATCGGAAATGAATTGGTGACTTCCATCGTTTAGACGGATTAGAACGTTACCTTTACCATTCACCACGACTTTAGACTCATCTCCAAAAGTAACATGACCTTGAGTTTGTTCTACCTTCACGAACATGCTTTTATCTCCCGTCATGTGGTTGCTAGCTCCGGTATCTAAATACCACGTGCTCTTCTTTGTTTGTTCTTCATGATTTGCCATCAACAAGGTAAGTTCTACCTCATTATTCATCTCCATGAGATGGGCCTCTTCTTTCACATGATTAGAGCGCTTGCATTCATATGCATAGTGGCCATATTTATTGCAATTATAACACTTTAGTTGAGACTTCTCGTACCTTTGTGGTTTGCTTCCTCTCCCACGGCCTCTAGATGCTTGTGTATATTGAATTCTTTCTTCATTGTTGAAGTTTGTATAACCACGACCTCGACCACCTCTTCCACGTGCACCACGTCCTCGATCATAACCACGACCTCGTTGGCCTCTTTCTTCACCTCTATTCTCCCCTCTTTCTTTAAAAGAGAGTTTGGAGTAAAGAGAATGCTCCAATGATTCATCAGATTTATTTCTCACAACTCTTTCTTCATGGACTTGTAGTGAGCCCATAAGTTGATCAATGGTCATGGACTCTAAATCCTTGGACTCTTCTATGGCCACCACAATATAATCATAGTCTTTGGTGAGAGAGCGAAGGATTTTCTCAATCACCGTTATGTCCTTTAGTTCCTCACCATTCCTCTTCATCTCATTTACAATTACTAACACTCTAGAGAAATAGTCGGATATTGATTCCGAATATTTCATTTTAAGTTGTTCGAACTCACCTCTAAGAGTTTGAAGACGAATTCTCTTCACCTTGTCAACTCCCTTGAAAGAGTTATGTAGTATCTCCCATGCTTCTTTAGAAGTGGTGGCATTTGAAACCTTCTCGAACATGGCCTCGTCTAAGCATTGATATATGAGAGTGAGAGCTTGTTGATCCTTCCTCCTACTCTTTTGGAAACTATCCCTTTGGGATTGATTTAAAGTAGCATCATCTTGAGGTTCCTCATAACCTTTCTCAACAATCTCCCATGCATCTTGAGATCCAAGCAAGGCTTTCATGCGAATGCACCAACTAGAGTAGTTATCTTTAGTGAGACGAGGAAATTGGAATGGAACTAAGCCGTTGGAATTCATTTTTCTTGAAAGGATTGATGGCTCTGATACCACTTTGTTGGAAGAAAGTAGTTGATGAGTATTATATTTGGGTGATTGTGTGTGGAAGAGAGAATTTTAGAGAGAGGTGATTTTAGAAGAACTTGGAACTTGTATTGATTTGGAGCTTTTGGCTTGCTTTACAAATGAGTGAGGAGTGCTCTATTTATAGGTCTCATAGGATCCTTCTAGGCACTCCTACTTCCTTAACCTTCTAGAATATTCTATAGGATTCTAGCTTAGGAATAATCTAGAATTGTTTAGGTACATTAACTACTCTAGATCTTTCTAAGTCTATCTTATGGGCTAGCTAATTTATTAATTATCATACAACTTCTAGCCCAATAAGTTAACATCTAATGGACCCAATTATTGGGCTAAGCCAAGTTTAATTTCTAACAACAAAAACCTGTGTTTTTGCTTGGCTGCGTAGAGTATGAGGAGTAATAGAGTTGTCTCCACAATAAAACAGTGTCTTTGTCGATGCAATGTACTTGGCATAGGTGGTCATCAAGAATGTGATGGATGTCACATATTGCATATTGTATTCAGGCAGCTTGTACATGAGACCACCTGCATTGTACGGTATATCATTACCACGATCAAACTTGTAATTAATTAATAGTCTCTATTATACTCCTTATGGATGAAGCTAGTATTATTGTTTGTCTTCGTAAAAAATTAATATTCTGTAACGGTTTTGCCAGAAGTAAAATTGTTACCGACATCATTGATAATTTACCGGGGAGATTTGCAATTCTAGTCCTGTAACTTTCGGCTGTTATCGTTTTTGGTCCTGTAACTTTAAACCCCAGCAAGTTTGGTCCTCTAACTAATAAATCTTTGTAATTTAAGGACTTTCCCACCGGAAAGTACACTTTCCGGCGGAAAAGTTCGACGCCGACAACATTTTTTCCGGTATGCTATTGCTGGAAAGTGTACTTTTCAAAGGAAAAGTCCTTAAATCACAAATATTAATTAGTTAGAGAACCAAATTTGCAAGTGACTAAACTTACGGGCCTAATAATATAATGATAACGGCCGAAAGTTACGAAATGAATATTGTAAATTTCTAATTTATTGTGGTAATTAGGGTGATCTAGATTTTCAATCGATATTGATCTTGTTTAAAAAAGTGTTTCGAAGACAATAATTAAACTTTTTGAGAAATCTTCATTCACTCATAAAATCATCGAGGCCCGGGCGGATTTAGGAATTTGAGTTAATTATGTTAGGTTGCACCAGAAGATCCAAAGAGCTGATTAACATCATTTTATACGTAGTATATATATATATATATATATGTGCACAAATGTTCACCTCACGTTGATTTAATTTTTACAATTTCATTCACTAAATCTAAATTCATCCAAATTAAACTCACCATGCAGCCGTTGTAATTAATGTTTTTAAGGTAAATGTGCAATTGACTTACCATCTGTGTATGTGGTCGTAGAGCCGGGGGAAAGGTGTTTGGGGAGAATGGCGCACATGAAATGTTCTGCGCCCTCTTTGTAGGCATTAAACCTTCCATCTTTTTTCACCACAGCCCACTAGGTACATCGAACAAAATACAAGGATAAAGATTAACAATGAACATTATGCATGCCAATATGCCCCATGTGACTAAAGTCAAAAGGTACGTAATATAACACACATGGTGAAATTTAAAGAAGACAAATACAAGTACAATATACTTCAGAAATATTTGTATATTCATCTCGTAGATAAATGTTTTCTTACATAAAAGTACTAAATTTGATTATTGTTGTAAAACATATGGATGAGATCATTTTTAATTTTATGTACAAAACAGGGTGTCGTTTTTGCTACTACATTTTTTTTTTGTAAAATATGCGTGGATAAAGTACACATGAATTAATTAAAATTTTGCAATTGAATAATTTAAATATAAATGAATGATGAAATACTGATGTGAATCGATAAAACGCATGATAGATAGATATATATAGTACCTTCATTTTTTATGGGTACCATAGCAATCAATAAAATATACAAAGTCCTTAACATAGAAACCGTGATTAATTATAGAACTTATACACTCATCACCAGACTTTTATGCAAACTATATGATCTTTGTATCACAAAACGTTGCCCATTGAAAGTTTTAAAGTATTTACAGTTTTACCACGCATTTTCATTAACAGAAGCCCTAATTTTGCATTCATTTGAAGACCTATATAAGCATACATATTCAATGCTTAGTTCAAGAAGTTTAAAAATTGCACCTACCCATACTCGTACTATATTCTAAAGATGTACATGTGTTTTTTCAAATCAGGGCATATTGTACATATATACCGCATTATTCGAAAATTAATGGAGGTTAATAATATTCACACAATCATGTAAACTATGATAATATGATGTTAGTAAAGAAGTATATGTGTGCTAATATTTTGTTAATATATGAGCATGAGTGATTCAAAAGCATTAATGTGTATATTATTTATAGTGGTTTTTAAAGTAAATGCAAATATATGAATGCATTAAGTATTAGGGACCAACAAATTTTGGTCCAAAAGAAAACATCCTCATTCTACATTTATTTAAAAGGTAAGTAGGTTTTTACATTTAATATTTTATATTATTAACATTCTCACTTTATTTTCATTCAAATTAAAATTGGAATTCTACCGGACCAGAGCAGGGCATATTCAATGTTTAGTTCAAGAAGTTTAAAAAGTGCACCTACCCATATTCGTATCATATACTACCTCCGTCCCGCAAAGAAGTTCTCACTCTCCTTTTATGGATGTCCCAAAACGAAGTTCTCATTTTATAAAAGGAAACCACTTTTAACCAAAAAGTCACAACTACACTTACTTTTTACCCACTTTTTGTTTGATTTGACATAAAATAAGGGTATACTTGGAAAGTCAAAACAAAATTCTACCTTACATAAATGTATGTGTAGGTCAAAATAGGAACTTCCTTGCGGGACGGAGGAAGTATTTTAAAGATAGATGTAGGCATGTAGCTGTTTTTTTTCAATGCGGGCATATTGTACATATATACCGCATTATTCGAAAATCATATAATACTAACCTAACTAAGTTACGTACTCATTTGTACCAATTAGATGTGGGCTTTCTTAGAGAAATATTTTCATACTCCGTATATATATTGCTGAAATTTTATCGGAAAACTAAAGCATGTATTAAAATTAAAAACATAAGTACTCTCTTTGTCGGGAATTTGCTCCTCATGTTTGCCTTTTGAATTGCATTGCTTTTTATGAAGAGTTGATGCTGGTTTCGAAATCGAAGAATTAACATGAATCATACAACTAACCTTTGTGTTAAGAGGAAATGAAAAATGTGCCCGCACATTTAGCTGAATAGTTGGTGAGTGAGACAATTCGGTTAAGGATTCGATCATTTTCAATCCCAAACAGTACTATCATGGGAGTTTGATCTAATGTGATGGCTAGCTCATTGTGTGCACCACATCCTCATTTAGAAATTATTTGAGATCGTACCGTAATTTACCCCTCCGTCGTTCTATCGAATGGAGGTGTTGGGCGCCAAAGATGAACGATTCCACCCGCCCATTTTGGGTGAAGGAAATGAAAAATGTTTTGGACTTATAAAACAAGAAACGCGAGGAAAACATTTTGAAATGGAAAGAGTAAAAAAATAGGTTCTATATATCTATCTCGATCATTTGCATATATATATTCGTACATTCACATGCAATTTTCTTCAATCTCACGTACTCACCTTTGAGAGAAGAACATACGCCCCTGCATACTTATTGTCCCAGCTAAATAGGTCCGGCAATCCATTGACTTTGATTTTCTTTATGAATTTGAGATATCTGAGATCATTTGTTGCTCTGAGCAGCCATGCTGCTCCCCATAATAATTCGTCCTGCAAATTAAGCACAAACAAATATGTTACTACATGCACTATTTTGAAAACTGGCTCAACTACAAGTACTTTTTTCGTACTTTTTTCCTTGAAAAATTAATAAACAAACTATGAGCCTGTTTGTTAACACTAAAATTGGCTGAATTGGTTGATTCTGCTGAAATTTTTGAAGTTCTGATTGAAGCGGCTGTATTGGCTCATTTTGCTCATTAATGAAAAAATATATTTAAAATATTTGTTATTAATAAATAAAAAAAATTATATGATAAAATAGTTAAAATGATCGTCTACAGTAACTTCAGCCAATATAGCCAGAAAAGTAACTCTAACCTTACTTTTTCAGCTTATTACTCAATTCAGCGCGCGAAATCTAAAATTACTTGTTTGGTGAAAAAGCTGACTGATAAACCTGATAAACCGAAAAACAGGTCACAAAACGTACGGAATTAATTAACCACTTCGTATATTATTCCTATTCATTTCAGTCCCGTATCATTCACGTAGAAGGTCAACCCAAATTTCTGTCTCGATCATGCTCTCTAATCCTATTTCAGTAAGTTATAGTCCGTCCGCACCCTAAGTTATAGTCCGTCCGCACCCTAATATTCTAATATTTAAAATAATAGAATTATGTGTTTAATAATGAGTTGATAAAATGATAATAAAGTAAGAATGAATTAGAATCACACAAATGTTACCAAATATGGTATGAGATAATAATAATGGGACATCTAAAAATGAAAAAATGGGACAATTATAGGAGGACGGATGGAGTATACTATATCCGCCCCAAATTAATTTGCAAAATTGACTTTTCTTGGTCAGATAATTTCATTTTATTCATTTAATTACGGTGTCATTTTTTAAGTATATTCTACTTTGGAGTTTGCAACTTTGAAGAGATTTTAATATAGTTTTTGAATATGTAAATTTTATTTATTAAAAAGTGAATTAATAATCAATAAGGAGGATTTAACTTAAATATTGATTGACCAAAAAATGTTGACTTTGCAAATCAATTTGAGACGAAGGAAGTATTATTTGTTCGATGATTTTTTTTGTTGATAAAATTAAAAACAACTACTGTTACTTTTGGTTTATAAGTAAATTGCAGGAAAAGATTTAAGTCATGCTCTGGAACAAGCCGTATACCTGGTTCTAGAACTGCCCTATGAATCCAAGATTGATTAATTAGACTTACTTAAAAATATCTTTTCTCTACACTCAAATTCGGTTTTGTCTTGCTAAATTAAAGATAATTTCTGAGTAAGGAAATAATTAATGATCTTACAAAGAAAGGATTTTTTCTGTAAATTAAAGGAAAGCTATTTAATTAAAGGTATTAAATAAGAGATCTTTCGACTAAGCAATTTCCAAAATATAAGGAGTTATTCAAAATCCAAATTAGATTTTCGTGCATCTCATCTCACAAGGAATGTTTACTTAAGAAAAATGATTTCCTTGAAACAAATAAAAATATTTTTTTTAATAACTATAAGGAAACATTTTTCAGACCATTTTTAAACAAAAAGGACCGAAAGTATATAAGAAGACACGAGCACATTAAGAAGAGCACATCAAGTCATGATCTAGCACATTTATGAGAATCGAGCTCAAAGGAAAGAATCCATCTTCAAAGGAGATCGGTAAATAGGGAATGCTTTTAAATGTCATAAAGCCTTGGCAGCTCCTAGACATCCCTATAAATTACCAAGCTCGTGCATGGAGATATGTGTGCTTGAATCGAGAAGAAAACACTCATAGAAGGAGAGTCATATACAAGTATGACTTAGAAGGTCGAGTACCACCGACAGTTCTATTATCGGTTTTATCCCTTGTAATTCAATTGTATTGGGGTTAAGACAAACATTTGAGAATACTTTCTTTTGAGGGTTGGGGTGTGAAGTAAGAGCTTTGTTGTAAAGGTGAGATTCATTACTCACAAGATAAGGTAGTGAGAACACTACATATCCTAGAGATGTTTGAGTTGAGGTGATTCAAGGGTAAACTAGAATTGTTTATCATGAGGGAGGTCAAGATTTTTTAATCCTTGTCGAGCCAAGGAATTATTTCTCGTTAGATTCTAGTGTCATTTAATTTTTGTTTTCCCTTGTCCCGCGTTAGAACTTGACGAAAAAGTGTCATAGTTGTATGCACATTATTCACCCACTCTTGTGTGATTCAACAACCGGTTCATCACTATCCCCTCGTCCCTTTTGGACTATTTTTCTCCCTGTATGTCAATTTGTTTAGTCATCAATTAAGTCACTGTTTATTAAAAGACAAATTCTACAATACTTCAAACGAAATTTAACTTGTAAGTACGGAGTATGAAACAACGAACATAATACATTCAAGCAATTCTATGGTAATGTAATAGTCGTAGTAAAATGCATGGTTACACGGATCGAATTCAAATACACATTTTAAATACGTGTTACCCAGTAGCTTTATATATACTTCGTACATTGTCATTCAATTCATTACTATGCAGAAGTATATGTAGAAATCAAAGTGACCAATATATATGCAGAAATAAATGAACCCAATAATAACAGCGAAAAGTATTAAAAGATAGAGTGAAGGTGCCCTAAAATTATTATCCTAAAATAAGAGTCTTTATTCTTTAATTTTGTGCCGGAAGAAGGACAAGGTGAAATAAAAGATATAAAAGGAACATTGATATTGTGGGCAGGTGTCCCAATCATTGATATTGTGATTTGTGAATAAATATACTTCTGAGTAAATGCAACATTTGATTTTTTTTAATCGCAACATTTGGTTTTTTCACTGTTCACATGTTCTACTTTGATTATATTTTATTCATTAATGTATTATATATTAAGTTTTAAAAAAATATTGTTAAATTCCTCTCATCTTAAAATTTCATTTTTTAAAAATGTTTTTACTAACAAATTATAAAAGATATTAATGGTCAAATTTGTGCGTGAAAAGTGGTCCGTTGCATTTAAAAAAGAACGAGAATGGAGGGATGACCTGATATCCGGAATAGGAGCAATAGAAGGGGCAGACAGCAGAGTGAAGTGAATCTCCGTAGGAGCCCCGATACGAATTTGCAAAACGAAACACTTGCTTTGCAGTTTTGAGGAGCGTTGAAGAATACGCGGGATCGGCTCGCCGGAAAACCAAGGAGGCGGCGGCCATTGCGGCAGCGGTTTCCGCCGCGACTTCGGACCCGGGAGTTCGGGATGTGACCCAGTAGGCGGTGCGTGGGGTGTCCATGTCCTCGGGGCGTACCCAGCAGAGGTGGTCTTGGCTGGGGTCTCCGACGCCCACGTAGAGCCTCCCGGCGGAGAGATGAACGGCGCACTTGAGGAGGTAGTCGGTGGCCCAGCGAATGGCGTCCCGGGCATTTTCCAACTCCGACAGCGATTTCATTTTCCGGCCGTACTCCAGCACACTCCACGACAGCATGGTGGCGGTGTACGCCATCGGGAAATTGAACTTCACATTGTCTCCAGCATCATAGTACCCTCCCACTAAGTCCACCTGCACGCGTACGTGGCCACACAATTAATTAATTAATTAAGAGATCGAAATTATATCTCCAATTAAATTTATAATTACAAATCATTATTACATGTTGGAGGGAACCGTCGGAGAGAGCAGAATCCCTCCTCCACGTCATACGGTTTGTACGAGGGAGCTTCCCGGATCGTTGGCCCTCGAAGAAGACGATGGCTTTGTGGAGGGCTTCGCGGTAATTAAGGCCACCTGCAGCAGCTCCACTCTCCAGTGATAACAGCAATAATAATATGAATATCGGAAACAGCTCCTGCGCCCGTCCCATTTTTAACGCCTCGCTCGCGCGCTAGTTACCCGATCAAATGTACACTTTAATTTGTGAAATTCATTATTATTGTCCGGAGTACTATGGTACGTACAACGTAATGGAATGGCTCCAACGCAACGCCTCATATATATTCCTCCCACCTACTATTAGGAGGACGTAAATCACGGTGATTGTGTTACTTCAATAACGGTAAGTCTTATATTCGTGTGTACCAGAGATTAAGTTCAGCATGCATGAGCTGTAACCTCCACGCGCACTCAATCAACTAAGTTGCGCGTGCGGAGATTGACGAAGGCGTATGAAAATTCAAACACAAATCACGCAAATTAGGGGTGGCCTTTTTGACGAATGGATCTCTCTTTTAATTGTGGTCAACTAACTAAACGTATATGTATACATAAGTCTCGATGGAGACTAGCTGGCTACTACACTGCGTATCTAATGGGGCGTAGACCATAATCTTCTTTCTTTATTTCAATTCGCCTTTACCGTACTTTTAGGCTGGCTACCTAGCTACTTCTCCATAAATTCATTGACTTGGCCAGGAATTATGTATGAGTCTGGTGGTCGGATCACACCAAGAATCGAAAACTTCAAACTTCAATTCAAAGCTCTCCACTTAATCTCCATACTCATGAAATTAACATTAACACCACCATTGTTGATTTTGTTAGAAATTAAACTTGGCTTAGCCCATAATAATAATTGAGTCCATTAGAAGTTAACTTATTGGGCTAGTAGTTGTATGAGAAATAATAAATTAGTTAATCCATAAGTTAGACTTAGTAAAGAAAGATCTAGAGTAGTTAATGTACCTAAACAATTCTAGATTATTCTTAAGCTAGAATATATCTAATAGAATATTGTAAAAGATTAAGAAAGTAGGAGTACCTAGAAGGATCCTATGAGACCTATAAATAGAGCACTCCTCACTCATTTGTAACATAAGCCAAAAGCTCCAAATCAATAAAAGTTTTATTTTCTCCCAAAAATTATCTCTCTAAAATTCTCTCTTCCACACACAATCACCCAATTTTAATACTCATAAACTACTTTCTTCCAACAAAGTGGTATCAAAGCCATCAATCCTTTCAAGAAAGATGAATGCCAACGGCTTAGTTCCATTCCAATTTCCTCGCCTCACTAAATAAAACTACTCTAGTTGGTGCATTCACATGAAAGCCTTGCTCGGATCTCAAGATGCATGGGAGATTGTTGAGAAAGGTTACGAGGAACCTCAAGATGATGCTACTTTAAATCAATCCCAAATGGTGTTGGGAACTAGCGGAAATGTAGTGAAACTTTAGGATTAACGCAATAAATATTTGATCACTCAATTTATAAATATGCATAGACAGAACAGTGCCTTATACTTTTGGCCTGCACTTCTTTGCATCTTATGCGCGCGCGCACACACACACACACACATATATATATGTATATATATATGTATATATATATATGTGTGTGTGTATATATATATATATATGTGTATATATATGTGTGTATATATATATATATATATATATGTATTCACATACATTGGTACAAGGATATGATGGTGTTGATTATTTAGTTTTGTTGATGACTAACTTTAAACATAATTGAACACTATCCTTGGGTCCATACAAACTGACCATGCAGGTGGAACCCTTGGATAGAACTACTATTGGAACGTATCTTGTTCTGTTCGTAATTATCATTCTTATGCATACTAAGTGTTTCACTTATCTTTGCTTACCTATATATGGACCTATATTATTTTACACGTGGCACATCTCTCATGTATGACTAAGCACCCACTTTAGAGAGCTGGCCCCCATTATGGTTATTGCACGTTATGGAAGTAATCCTTACTTATGCTAAATGAATACATTGCCATATTTATAGTTGTCCATAGCATGCTATACTTGGTAAAATCATCCTTGATTGAAATATTAAATGAAAATCTTTTAGAAAGGATCTCGGAAATATGGAAATCATTGTAGCTCAATTTAATTTAATTACATGAATATTTTGCTGCTACTTGTTCCCTTATATGATGATTCGTGAATCATGAGTCAATGAACTCACATTTGAGAACGAATAAGAGGGAGCCACTAGAAGGAAACTAATTCAAATGATATCAAGGCAAGTTCCAAATATGGAAGCTCAATTACTCAAGGAAAGAGACACCAACGGACAAATCAAGGTGGCTTATATATTCGAGAATCAAGAGGAAGAAGTGTGTGCTTGACCGAGCAATTACAGATAGAAATACTTATAAAGAATTATCAAGACCAAGGCACCTGGACCTCCTCACGAAGTTCTAGATATAGTTTCTTCTCCCTTCTTTATCCTGTAACTGGATTTTGAGGAAAAGCTAAAGTGTAGCTTCCTCGGGTTGGGGTCGTGTGTGTGAGAGCTTTGTTGTAAAGCTGAGAGGCTCTCTACCCGCAAGGTAGAGATGCATAACTCTTCCTAGAGATGATAGAGTTGGGGTGGCTCAAGGGTAGATTAGGAGAATTTACCTTGTAACCAAAAAAGGCTTTTTAGTGAAGTTTAAAATTCATCTGAGGGAGGTCGAGGTTTTTTAATCCCTTTGAGCCAAGGGATTTTTCCTCGTTAAATCCTTGTGCACTTTACTATTTTGCATTTCCCCGAACCCCACACTAGAACTGTGCGAAAAACTACCACGGTTCCACACACACAATTCACCCTCCCTCTTGTGTTGCTAACCGTTTCATCAATTGGTATCAGAGCCGATCTTCACCACAGAAAGGGTAAAACCTTGGGAAGAGATCGGGCAATATGAATACGGTTGAACGATTGGAAGAAGGTTACTCAACTCAACGACCACCGTTGTTTAACAACAAATTTTACCAATTCTGGAAGAGTCGAATGGAGAACTTCATCAAGGCTGAGAACTATCAGGTATGGAACGTAATTGAGGCAGGTGATAACATCATCACTAAAGTGGATTGATAAGTCCATATTTAGACACACATTTGATGCGTGTTCAGGTTGGATTTTGAGGGTTTTCCTAGCTTTAAGATGTTGCAAGTCTCAATTTTAGCTCAAGTTGCGATTATCAGACATTGGAACGAGTTCTTTGCATTTGGAATTGAATTGAAGAAATTAGAGACTGGCAATCAGCGCTTGAGAGGCATTCAGGAAGGATTTGAAGGCATTCGAAGAAGATTTGAGAGATTTGGAGGTCATCGTGAGATTCACGATGAAATTCTGATGAAGAACGAGTATTTGATTGACCTCGTATGCATCTGGGAGCGTTTGGAACAAGGAAACGAAGATAAAGTGAAGAATAAGGTCACGCACGGTCGTGCCCGGCGTTAGGCACGCCGTGCATGCCTTGTATAAAGCAGGAAAGCTACTGGAGGCCAGGCACGGTCGTGCCTGGCAGTCAGGCACGCCGTGCCTGAAATGAAACGAGGAACAAAGCTACTGGAGGCCAGGCACGGTCGTGTCTGGCAGTCAGGCATGCCGTGCCTGGACGCGTCAAACGGGTTTCTTCCGCAGGCACGGTCGTGCCTGGCACCGTGCCTGACCCTGTTTTATCCTAATTCAGCTCAAATTGCTTTGTTTCCTTTAAATACCACCCCCATAACCCTAATTAAGGGGGATGGAACTTTAGAGAGAGATTAAGGACGAGATTAGAGAGCTTTTTCAGCCAGGTTTTTCAATTCCTTAACATTCTTTGTAAATTCCTACTTTTTAATTAATGACAATTAATTCTATTTATCTCAATTCTATTGATTCTTCAATTATGAATAGGGAGTAGTTTTAATTAGGGATTTGGGGTTGATGAATGGGTTAATCATGATGTATGGTTAGGTTCTTGATGGTGTAAATTGCATGAATGCCGTTTAATTTGTGTTTGAGTAATTTATTTGATATCTTTTGTAACCTAGATGACCACTATAATTACAATCGCATGTAGAATGAATTAAGAGAGATCTAATTTGTTCTAGGACACATTCACACACACTTAATCGTTCGCTAAGAGATTAGTAGCGATTAAGGGGCCGTAAGCGCGTTCGTCTTGGCAATAATTTAGGATCCTGTCACATGAGAGATCAGCCTGGTCCCCTAAATTATTGCACTCTACGCCGCGAGAGCGGTAAGAACTTAGTATTGATTAGCTAGGCTCAATTAAATTAAATTCATGTAATTAAGCCTGATCTGCCAGAAATCTGATTACCCCAGAACCAATCCCTGTTCCCTTCGTCGTTAATTAAGAAGAACCCAAATATTTACTTTTAGTCGTTTATTTGCAATTTTAGTTTTCTCAAGCAACCAAATCTCGCACGACTGCATTTATTTTATTTCTTTTCTTTATCGCTGATTTTAGTTAGTCCTTAATTCCCTTTTTACTGTCCCTGTGGAGACGATACTCGTACTTTCACCGCTATTATACAATCTTTTTAAGTGCGAGAAAACTCACATCGGTTTTTGGTGCCGTTGCCGGGGACGGTGTCTGGCTTAAGGGTTAATTTTACTCAACGATTCGTTTTTAGTTTTTCGTAGGATTTTTATCTGCTAACCTTGCAGGCCAGATCTGTTTATGCATACACGCTCCAAGAGGGGAGAGCCATTAATCCCTCTTAATCTAGAGATTGAAAAGCTCGCCAGACAGAACCGCAAGGCTCACAAAGAGAAATTTACCATGGACCATCAATCTTCATCTGGAAACATAGGGTCATCTAGTAACCCTAACCCTACTACTCAGCCAGATTTCTATCATAACACATCACCCCAATCTTCACCACCAATTTCACCTAGAAACCCTCCAGGTTTTCAAAATTACCGCACCTCGATTTTTTCCCAAAATCATCCTTCACCACAATTTAATCTCCCTCCATTATTTCACCTCTTTCAAAATACTCCTACTGCTCCTGAAACCAATTTTCAAAATCAAGTTTATGGGATGCAAGGAGCAGGGCAGAGTATTCCCGTTTTCCGATCGAGACAGAACCCACCTCCAATCAATCAACCTACATTCCAAAATCAGACCCAGTACCAAAATCCATACCCCAATCAGTTTCAAAACCAAACCCAAGTCCCACCTACTCAGCAACAA